CAGACCCCAGGTGCTCGGGACAGCCCCTTGCTGGGGAGCTGAGAACATCTGGAAACTGCTCCAAAGAAAGAGCGGAAGCACAAATAAAAGTCCGGGGTGCGCGGCGTAGCCCTCTCCTCCTGGCCTCGGCCACGGCTCTGGCGCGCTGGGCAGCTGCGAGCTGGCCGAGGAATGAGCCTCCTGACCTCCCTGGAGAAACCGGGGCCTCTGGGCAGCGCGGGCTGGGCCAGGCAGGTGGCCTGCCATGGAGGCGGAGGGTTAGGGATTTAGGGCGCTGTAAGCCAGGAGCTCTGCTGGGGACCCCGCAATGGTTGTCATACCCACCCTGGTCCTCGGCACCGGGCCAGGGAAACAGTGGAGGGAGGGACCGTGTGTGTGCTCAGCTGAACGATGGGTGTGTGTGTTAAGGGAGGGCCTTTCAGGGGACATAGCGGGTATTCTTAAAGTATTTGTTAGTGAACGGAAGAAGGTTGAGCACAGGAGGCCTCATTTGTCTTGGCCGCGGTTGCCTGGAAACCCTCTTGCAGAAACCTGGCTGTGAGCTGGGTTCCCACTCCCCGGCTCCTCCCCCGGGCCTGCCACCTGCGTTCCGCCCTCAGTGACCTCACAGCCCTCAGGGGCTGCACCTGTCACCTGGGCCCAGGTGACTCCCTGGCCGGCGGCGCTGCCCTGACCCCGGGTCTCCTTGTGCCCATACCTGGAGCTGCCTCCACCCGGGGGCCCTGAACACCAAGCCAACCGGCCACCCCCCAACCTGGATGGCGCTCCTGCCCCTCTCACCATCCTGTTACCTCCGCAAAGTGGGGAGAGGCTGGGTGGGGAGGGCACAGGGGCACCTCCAGCCAACAGCAGCCCACTCCTGTCTCCAGCCTCAGTTTCTCCTCCTGCGAAGCGGGTTGACCCCAGTCCGGCTCTATAGTGCCGTGCTGAGGCACGGTGCACCGGACACAGGGTGGCCAGCTCAGGCCTGGCAGAGGACAGCGGTGCTACTGCAGTGCTTGAGCCATTGGGGGCCTTCGGGGTCCTGACAGAAACCCTGCTGCAGCGCTGCGCCTCCCACACTCACCCAGGGGGGAACGGAGTTGGAATGCTGGTCTTCTCAGCTCCCTCAGGGGGACCCCGAGTCTCCCTTTGTGTCAATGCCTTTGTGTCCCCAGCCAGCCCTGAATTGCCCAAGACTCTCTATACCCTTCCATCTGTCCCAGCTTAGTTTCCTCCCAAACTTCCTCCTCCTCCAACACCATTGTGATTGCGCTGCTCCCTTCCTGTGCACCCTACCTTGGCTTCCCACTACCCAGTATCAAGTCCCAGGACGGCTGTCCTGAGCCCTCCGAGCTCCTGCCCCCTACCCCAGTGTTGCCTCAAGGGCCTTGAGAGAGAAGGCATATTTCTCTTTTCCAGCCCCACAAACCTGCCGACTCTGAAGAGGTTCCACCCACCTCACAGAAAAACAGCAACCACAGGCACACACACCACAGGCATCTGCTTCCTTCCTCCAGGCCTGTGCCCTATGCCCTGGTTCCCTGGAGATCCAGGGCAGCTCTGCCTGGGTTTGTAAGGGACTCCTGGAGGGCCGGCATGTAGGTGGGTCTGGGGGCCCAGGCTCTGCATTTCTAAGAAGTTTTCAGGTGTCCCGAGTATTGCACTTTGAGAACCTCTGGTTTTGAGGAACAGCTGAAGCTGGACAGGCAGGGTGGGGCAGATGCAGAAAAAGAAGCCACCATGGGTGGCAGTGATGGCATTAGAACAGCCATTGTCAGCCGAGGACCTTGGATGAGTGGCTTGGCCTCCCTGAGCCTCGGTTTCCTCATCTGTAAAATGGGACTAGCCATACCTCCCCATCAGATGTCTGTCACCACAGCGGCTGGTGGCCATGTGGGGAGAGGTGACTGGCTGGTCAGGGTGGCAGCCTCCACCCAGGTCAAAGTCAACTTGGGCAGCACCATTATGCAGGAGAAGGTGCCAAGCCCAAAATGTCACAGATGGTGACAAAAATCCCAAGCGCCACATCCCTGAGGGGAGCGTGCGGGGGGAATGATGTGACCGCTGCTTGTGCTCTGTCTTCATTAGACTTCCTGGTGACATTTTTTGTTTGAGCAAGAAACAGGCTCGTGTTTCCCTTCTGTTGCTCCGATGGATGTTCCAGGGCAAGAGTCGGCTGGCAGTTGTTGCCGACATTGTTAATCTATTAGAGTGGAGCAGGTTGCCTGCTTTTCCGCCTTGTTTCCTTCTTCCTTTCCTCCCTCCCTCCTGATGAGAACGTGGGTCTTGGTTCCAGTCTGCGCGCGTAGCCACTCGAGGTGTGTGGAGACAGCCGTGGTACCACTTGCTACCTCTTCCCTAATTCTCCATCATGAATATGTATAACTTTGAATGTACAGACAGAAACCCACCCTATCACAAAAATAAAGATAGGAAAGAATCCCAAGTATCTTTGTGACCCTTGTGAGTGAGTTCTGCCTCTCAAGGGAGTCACCCATGCACTGTGTGTATTTTTTGGTTTTGGTTTTGGCTTGGTTTTTGCTTTTTGAGACAGAGTCTTGCTACACCGTTCAGGCTGACCCGGAATCCACTGGGTAGCCCAGGTTGGCCCCGAATCTGTGGTGATCCTCCTACCTCAGCCTCCTGAGTACGGGGATGACAGGCATACACCGCCATGCCCCACTCGGCTGCAATTCTTTAGCCTCTTGTGTCTGTGGGTGTCTGGACGGTCTGCTCACCAAGACAGAGAGGACTGCCCCAAGCTGTCCTGAATGTGTCCCCTGATGCCCACGTGGAAGAAATTCTCCAGAATGTCAGTGTAGGAGTGGAGCTGTTGGGTTTCGGTTGGTTGATGTTAGGCTGTCCAAGCAAACATGAAGCCGGTTTACAAAGAGGTTAACATCACACCCCCTTGAGCAGTGCCTTGGAGTTTCTGCTGACCCATGTAGTCTAGAGCGTTGTGTTTCACCGATCCAGTGTTTGTAATATCCTGTCTCGAGGCCGACTGGACATTTCCATTCCTTGCTTATCAGTAACACGGGTTATCACCCATTTATCTTTCCACCTCTCTAAATGCCTGTTCTCGTCTTTTGACCCCGCCCTTTGTTTTTGCTATGGGGCTGTCTTTTTTGTGTTCCTAAATTTAAATTCTCTAGACATTCTGGATGCTAAGCCCTCGTTGCTCTTGCCTTGTGAATAAGCTCTCCGTGGATTGTGCAGGTCTTTTACAGCACTTATTTTCATCTAGTTGAACTTCTCAGCGTTTTCCTTCATGCTTCCTGGTTTGATGTCTTATTTCAGAAAGAGCTCACAGATATGTGCTTCTACATCTTCTTTTAAAAGACTCAGAGTTCTGCTGTGTACATTTATGACTTTCTCCGCCTGCAGTTCACCTTTTGTGTATGGTGTGTTACGGCTCGAGTCTAGATGCCCCCCACCCCGCCCAATGTGGTCATGGGTGGGGCTTTTTCAGAGGTGGCTGGATCTAGAGTGTGTGATGGGATCAAGGACTCTAGGGTTAAGGGTGGGAATGCCTCCCACCCTAAGTAGCCTGCTAAAATATAAGGAATAGAAAGAGCTGTTGTCCCTTGCTTGCTTTGCTGCCTTCTGCCCACCATGGACTGTTTCTCCTCTGCGATAATCCTCGGAGCCAGCCGACTATGGACTGAAACCTCTACAAACTGTGAGCTAAATAACCTTTCCTCCCTTAACTTTGGGTGCTGGGTATTTTATCCCAGCAATGATAAAAGGAACTAAGACAGTGTGAAGCTGGGATCAGTGTCATTCTTTCATTATTTGTCCAATTTAATTATTTTCCATATGAATGAATGAATGTCCTCGTCCCATTTATGATGCAGTCTCCACTGTCCCCAGGTCTGTCCAAAACCTCCTCCATAGATTAAGTAAGGGCTCTCTTAAATTACACACTCCCTTTGTCTCGGACTGGGTCATTATACCCCATCCTTATCTCTGTGTCTTGTGCCTGATAGAACAAGTCCCTCACTTTTTTACCTCTTTTCCTTAAGGGATATCCAGACTATCTGGCCCCTCGGTTTCTCATTGGGCAAATTTTAAAATCAACTTGTCAAGTTCAGTAGAACTGGAATCCCATTGAATATATGTCTGTTGGTGAGAATTCAAGGACCTCTGAATACCTCCGCTTTCCTCACTTTCCTGCCCATTTAAATTCTGTCCCTTTTTATCTCACAAATTTGATGTTTTTAATGACTTCTTCTTATATAAATGATATTTGTTTAGATTTATGCAGAAATTTAACATTTTACTGGTTTACCATTCTTTCTTGTGCTATTCTTCTGGCCTTGGTGACCTTCTTCCAAAACAATGCCCTCAGAACTTGCTTCAGTCAAAGTCTGTTAATTTTTTTTTTTTTTTTTTGGGTTTTTTTGAGACAGAGTCTCACTATGTAGTTGAGTCTGACCTGGAACTCACTATGTAGCCCAGACTGGTCTCCAACTCACAGCGATCCTCCTGCCTCAGCCTCCTGAGTGCTGGGATTACAGGCTTGTGCCACCACACCCGGCTTAAAGTCTGTTAATTTTCAAACACTAACTTTTGTTCATCTGAAAAAGATTTTGGGGGTTGCTGGCATGGTGGTGTATGCCTTTAATCCCAGCACTCAGGAGGCTGAAGCAGGAGGATCACCTGAGTTTGAGTTCTAGACCAGCCTGGGCTACATAGCAAGACCCTGTGTGCAATTCTAAATTGATAGTTATTTTCTCGGAATTCTAAGAGGGTTTATTCAATTGTGCCCCAGATTTCACTGTTACTATTGAGAAGTCTGCTGTTGATCTGATTCTCATTTCTTTCTGAGTAGTCTTTTCCTTCTGAATGACTTTGAGATACATGTGTATGTGTCATGGTTATGTTATCAGACGCACACAATTTGAGAATATCTTTTAGGTGATTGGAATCCTACATGATTAGGTTGTGATCTTTTCTACTGATGACAGTGTGGGTTGTAACTAATAACCTATTTTTTTGTCTGATATTAAAATACCCACCATCCTCTCAGCTCATCTTTGAGTTTTTTTGTTTTTTGTTTTTTTTCAATTTACTGTGCTTTGTGTGGGTGGCTCCTCGTGCTGGTAGTGTGAGCGTGTGTGAGACTGTGTGTGTGTGTGTGTGAGTGTGTTCATACACACAAAGACAAGGCTGATTCCTGGAGATTCTCCTTACTTCTTGTAAACTTAGCAATGCTTTGAAAAGTATGTTTTATCCGTGATCCAGACATATTATAAGAAGATTCTCAAGAGTATTTGGTCGATTACAGTTTCAAAAGCAGAAGTCTGTGTGATTGTTTTGTATGTATGCAGCCCCGTGTATACACACTGGTGTGTTAAAGACCTCTGGATGCACGCACCGTTCTATGCATACATGTCACAGAGAGCCAGACAGGCAGACAGATAGACTTTGGTGTGGACTTTACTTTGCTATCTTCTAGTTTCAAGTGTAAGCCCTCCTGAATGGATCTTCCTGTTTTCCTCATTACCTCTTGACAACCTCAGTGTACTTACCGCTCCGGGCAGAGTAAGAGCTGGCTGCTGCCTGGGTTGATATCTGGGAAAGGAGGATCCCAGGGCAGCCATATTGGGCAGAGCCCTTCCTCATGGGCCTCTCTGCCTCCCTCGGTCCCTTCCACAGCTCTGCCCCCAAGGGCTGCACATCCTTCAGCATCACTGCGCCCCCAGGGGTGGCTGTGGATATCACCCACGGCTCTCCAGCCAAGAAGAATCCCTCGGGCTCCTCCAAATGGCCCCTGGACCCTAAGCTGGAGGTGACCCTCAGGATGAAAGCTGCCAGCAGTAGCATGGATGACCAGAAGGTGAGTGTGAGCCTTGGGGCGGAAGTGTGGAAGGACACCCGCCAGGCAGCAGCCGTACCTGGGCTGTCTCGCCTTCGTGCATAGTTTCAGCCCCAGAACTTGCCTCCCTTCGGAAAAGCTCATGATGGCCTCTTCCACCGAAAGGTCCCATGGGCCAGGGTCTTCATTCAAGCCATCCACTGGGCCAATGTTTAATAAACTCCTACCATGCCAGACACTGCCGGGCACCAGGAAGACGGAAACGAGGAAGCCAGGGGAGCCGGGGGAGCTTGCAGTCCTGGAAGGGCTCACAACCTGTGCGTGGGGGTATCGGGTAACAGACAAGTAAACGGCATTAACCCTGGCACAGAGGGCTATGCCAGCCACGGAGGGGTCCCAAGGACCGCCGCTCCACCCCCGTGTTACTTCCCTGTGGCCACCACAGCACATTACCAGATAGCTTAAGGCAACAGCGTCGCCTGCTCCCGGTCCTAGAGGACAGAGGCTTGAGATCCAGGTGTCAGCGGGGCCACATTCCCCGTGGAGGCTGAGGGGGCGCAGCTCCCTGCCTCTCCCACGATGTGTGGTGCCACCACACCATTCCGTGGTCACTCCGCCTCCCCACTTCCTGTAATCCCTGTCCCTCTCTCATAAGGACGCTTGTGATATTCCAGGATGATCTCCTCATCTCAAGATATTTAACCCGCTACACCTTGTTTTTTTGCAAACAAGGTCAAGTTCACAGGTTCCAGGAACTGGGATGTGTTCAGGGCCCTACCTGGAACCAAGATGGTCCCAACAACACTCTGGGTTTCCCACAGAGAGCCGAGCCCCTTGTTGCTGGAGGAAAAAGTTCAGCAGGCTCATCGCTGGGGACCAAGGGCTGTCACCTCCTGTAGGAGCACAAAGCTTGGGTACCCAGGTAGGGGTGGTCAGGGACAACTTCTGGAGGAAGTGGCACGCTGAAGATGACAGAGGGAAAGAGAGGCGGGGGACATGGGACGGTGGCCATGCACCGGCGCTGGGTGAAGGAGACACGCGCTGGGCACAATGAGGACGTCTGTGGGGCAAGAAAGTTGGTGGAAGCAGAGGGGAGGGACGGCCCTCTCTCGGTCAGTGTAAAGAGCTTGGTATGGGCACCTTATTTCCTGAGCGCAACAAGTAGCCAAACAAAAGCTTTCAGCCTGGGAATCACAGACTGGCAGTAACAGACCCGGGAGTGGAGCGAGCCCACTGGCTGCCATAGCAACGAGACTGAGTCCAAGGCAGGGGTCCCAGGCAGCAAGAGGCTACACGGCATGGTATCTCCCTGGACGCCCACTGGCCTTGTTCCACTTCGGGGAACTCCTACCACCGTCTGCCAAGTTGCTTGGGCGTGTCAGTCAGCAGCCCCGCCCTCCTGTGGCAGCTGGGCCAATTAGACGTGTTCTCCAGGGCCAGGGCGGGGCTGCAGGGCCTGGGCCCAGGGCCCGGCTCAAACTAAGCACATGCGCATGCGCTCTGCCACGGAGTCACACCCCCACTTTTTTTTCTGTATCAGAGATCGAACTCAGGACCTTGCTCTTGCAGGCAGGCAGGTGTGGCACCACTGAGCTAAATCCCCGGCCCTACCCCCAGCCCTTCTTGGAATCTGCTCCTTAGACCAAGGGGGTTGGTGTTTGGAAATCTCAGCAGCTCTTGCCTGGAGACGCCAAGTCTCCCTGCTCGCCAGGTTCCCCGGGGGTGACTTGAGGTCTTTCCTCCGTCCCTTCTGTTTGCTAGAGCCTATCCGGTGGCTCATAACCAGCTCTCTCCCTTAATGTTTCCTCCACTCGGCTCCATCGGCTGACCCTCTGCTCCTCACCCCCAAGATCTGGCCCCCTTTCCCAGGCAGAACCAGTCCTTCCATTTCTGGGCTCCCACGGGACCCTCTTCTATGGCACTGTAGTCATTTGAACTCAGGTGGCACAGAGCAGGCTCCCGGTTTGTGTTTGTTGAACGACTAAGCGAAGTCTCACCCGCTCTGCTGCTGTCTCGTAGGTTCAAATTTCATACTACGGACCTAAGGCCCCTACGGTGCAAGCCCTGCTCTACCTCACGGGTGTGGGTAAGTGCTCCTCTCCCCTTCCAAACCCTGCAGGGCATTTCTCCTGGATGGAGGTGAGGGGACTTGAATGACGCATCTTAACTTGTTTCTCAAGTTAGGAAGTGAGTACGTGAATTCCAGCATTCAAGTCTCTGAACCTTTCCGGTGCCTCAGGTATCTGTAGCAAAAGCAGATGGTGACGCTGTGTTACCTCATCGTGTAGACCGTGGTCCCAGAACCATTATTTAGATCCCATTTTTACCATTTCTGTCACACCAACAACCTACCCATACTCACATGCTCATATTCATTTAATATAACACATTCAAATATAACACATTTTTAGGATTGAGTCCAGGAGTTGGAGACCAGTCTTGGCAACACAGCAAGGCCCTATCCCTTAAAAACTGATTTTTTAAAAACTTGGATATGGTGTACGCACGATAATCCCAGCACTTGAGAGGCTGAGGCAGGAGGATTAAAAGTGCAGGCCAGCCGGGGCTCCATAGCGAGTCCCTGTCTCCAAAAACCAAGACAACCACAGTAACAATAAAACCCATTTTTAATTTGACTTCATCTCGAGCAGTGTCACACTGTTCATACAAATAACTTGAAACGTTCGGGTTTCATTTTAATAACAAGCCCCTGTGAATACACATGAGGTCCCGGTCACCGCGGACTGTCGTACCCATCCCTGCACTGCTGTGTGGGTGAATGCCCTTCAAAGGACACCCGGGCCACTGCCACGCAGGACAAGGGTCCCAAACCTCACTGTGAGCACAAACACCTGTGTCAGTGGACCCGGTGGTCAGAGGGTCCCACAGCCCAGGGCATGCGCTGCTGTTCGTCCCCGGATGTGGACACAGATACGTGAAGAGCAGATGGAGGAGGTGTAAGCACTGTGTCCCCATCCCAAGGGGGTGGAGGGCCGGAGCTTCGAGAGCCTGGTGAGAGTCGTGTGGCCCCTTCGCAGGATGGCGGATAATTCATCCAGAAGCCCCTCGGGGTGGTGAGATCCTCGGGGTCTACGGCCTGGCCCTCTGAAGGAGAGAAAATGGTCAGGAGCTCCCTGAATTGCAGCCAGACTTCTTGGGGACAAAGGGAGAGGAGATGCCACGTGCCCTCTCCAGGAGACCCACCACTCCGCACCCTCACCAACCCTCTCCTCTTATTCATGGAATTTCAGAGATCTCTCTGCTGGCGGACGTCACCCGCTCAGGCAAAGCGAAGCCGGCCAGGTCCATGAAAGACCAGGTACCTCTGGACCCTGACCGGTGCCCTCACCCCCGTGCTCCCTTTAGCTCTGCTGGGCTCTCCTACACCGCCCTCTGGTGGACATGGCGCAAAGCGTCCATCGCAGGTTGACTAAACATTTAGAAAGGAGAAAGAACATTTATTTTAGTTTTGTGTGTCCCATCACTTTTTTTTTTTTTTTTTTTTGTACCGGGGATCGAACTCGGGTCCTTGCGCTTGCAAGGCAGGCCACCGAACCGCTGAGCTAAATCCCCGGCCCCTTAGTTTTGTGTGTCCCATCACTTTTACAAAACCATAATTGTCACTAATTATGGGTTCAGAATCTCTCCTGAGTCTCTCAGTTAAATATACATAGGCGAAAATATTTGTTTTAAACTAATTTTTTTATTTCAATGGACTATAGTTCTTTCTTTTTGTTGTGGAGACACGGGATGGTGGGGTGTGCAGAAAGGACCTTAAAACTGTTGGCCTGGGGTCTATGGGTTAAGTGTCTCTGAAACCTCAGAGCTGCCTGCACACTGCTTTTTCCAGGACTGGGATGGAACCCAAGGGTGCTGTACCACTAAGCTGCATCCCCAGCCCTTTTCATCTGTCTTTTTAAATTTTGAGATAGGGTCTTACTGAGCTGTCAGGCTGGCCTCAAATCTGTGATCCTCCTGCGCCAGTACCTGGAATCATGTGTGTGCTGATCTTGTGTGCACTTTAGGAGATGCCACCCTAAGGTCCCAGACCAGGCACAGTGGTGGCACACACTTGGTACTTGGGAAGCTGAAGCAGGAAGATCATGAGTTTGAGGCCAGTCCGGGCTGTATAAGAAGAGCCTGCTTCAGAAAAGAAAAAAGAAAAGTGAAAAATCTGGAGCCAGTCAGAAGTGCAGGAAAGGACTGGGCTGTAGCTCAGGGGCAGAGTTTGCCTAGAGTGACCGAGGCCCTGGGATCCATCCCTGAGACCACAAAATAAAATAAAACAATTAAAGCTGGGGATGGAACTCAGGACCTTCACACTGAGCCACATCTCCAGCCCTTTTATTCATTTTTTAAATTTTGAGACAGGGTCTCACTAAATTGCCCTGACTGGGTTCCAGCTTGAGATCCTCCTGCCTCTGCTGCAGGCCAACAAAACGTTTTTAGTGTGGGGATAAATGTCTACACCGCAGTCACTCCCCAGAGCTGCCCTGTGAAGGAGGCATCATCCTTTTTAGGTCCTCCCAGGGTGGAGCCACTTAATCTGCCTTCATCTTTGGGCAGAGACTGACTGACTGCTAAGAATAGCATCCAGCCCAGTGGAACAAGCAATTAAGAGTTCTCACAGCACAGTAACTAGGTAGATTAGACTCTCGTCACACACTGTTGTCTTCATTTGTTGTGTCAGTCCAACATTTAAAAAAAAAAGCTGTTAAAGTCCAGTTCACTGTCTTGGGCTCCTTCGTGAAATTGCAGACGGTTTTTGGAGCAGGCAAACGGTCACTCTTGGAAGCTGAGAATCACCTGGTGTGGGGACCGGATGGGTGTAGCACACAGGTCTGGGGTGATGGGAGGTTGGCCCGCTTCTCGTGGGAGCTGAGGGGGCTGCTCCAGTCTCTTCTGGGTCCGCAGAGCACCTGGACCTGGGGCCCCTCCGGACAAGGCGCCATCCTGCTGGTGAACTGTGACAGGAACAATCCCCAGTCCTCCGGCACGGACTGTGAGGACGAGGAGGTGTTTGACAGCAAAGGTAAAGATACTCGGTTGTGGGACCAGGGCCTGGCCTCTTCGCAAAGCCTGTGAGCTTGTGACAGCCCTCGGGAGTCAGGGCACCGGGAGCACGGTCTCATGAGGACGAAGTGGACAACGGTCCCTGCCCAAGGCCTCACAGTCCCCTGCCACCTCCTGCCCAACCTGAACGTCTGCAGGTGGCTCAGACCTGGGGCCCAAAAGCCATCAGAATGAAAGCTGCCCCTCGTCATATCCGGGTCACCCCCGAGTCCCCTGACATCGCCAGACTCTGATCTGAGCACTTGGGGACGATCAGCTCATGCCGCCCCTCAGCACGAAGCTTAGCAGGTAGGGAGGCCTTGGCAGACAGAGAAGCTTAGCAGCTCGCCTGCACAATGTCGCACAGCTGATAAGGAGCAGACACAGGATCTGCACCACCCGCCCCTCCGGCACAGACGCCCTGTGCCAGGCGCTGCCTTCATCCGTTTACTGATGAGGAGACACCCAAGAAGAGGGGAAGGAACTTTCCCCAGGGTCACTCAGATCCAGATGGGCCCCGAACCCCTTCACCCCTCCACCACGGCCCCGTCCACCAGAACTGGTCACTCCGAGCTGCCCCTGCACCCCCTGCTGTTCTTACGTCAGTTCGTGAACCTTCTGCCCGCTCAGCCCCTGCACAGAGGGTGTGGGCGCCTGCCAGGTGCTTCCCCGCGAGGTTCCGGGGGGCCGGGGACACGGCGGCGAACACCATGAGCACAGCCCCTGCCTCACTGAGCCAGCCGGTGTCACCCGGGGAGAGGCAGAGACTTCAGATGGAAAAGCGCATGTCTGAGGGAAGAGAGGGGCCCCGGGCAGCAGGGGGACAGGTCCGGCTGCCAGGCCGTGCCAGGAGGCAACCCAGGGAGATGGCCTGGTGACCTGAGCACCTCGGGCTGCGTCCTCTTCCTTCCAGACGCGCAGGACCTGTCGCTGCTGACCCTAAGCACGAAGACCCCCAAGGACTTCTTCACCAGGCACCGGCTGCTGCTGCACGTGGCCAAGTCTGAGATGGCCAGAGTGAGGGTCTTCCAGGCTGCCCGTGAGTGTCCCCTCCGCACCGGCTCCCTCTCCGCCCCTTCCCCACCCTCTGACGTCCCCGTGTGGCAGAAACTCCTGAGGGGCTGCCTTGTGCTGGGCTCTAACACCAGGACAAAGCCGTGAGCCAGGCAGAGGCTCTGTCTAGGGCTTTCTGAACAAGGGCCACAGACACCAGGTCCAGAAAGGAAGGAAGGAGGTAACCTCCCTCCCAGAGCCGTGCGCGACACTGACTCTGTCCTCCGTCGCTTGCCTCTCGCTGGCGGTTAACTGAGCAGCGCACCTAGAGCCTGGGCAGGACCGGGAGGCGAGGGAGGGGGAGTGAAGTGGGTGCCGGGCAAGGGGCCCCCCCAGAGCTGTCGTCTGAGTAGAGGGCGAGCGGGGACAGCCACACAGACACCCTGGGGAGGGCACTGTGGGCAGAGGGAACGGCGCCCGGACCCTGGCTGTGTCTCCTCCAGGACTCGGGTCTCAGCCCTCATGGGCAGCTGATATTGTAATGGCCTGGTCCCTCCCTGGGCTGAGGACAGCAGGACAGGGCCCTGCACCCCAGGGCCAGCTCAGACCCCGCTAGAGTGGGGTGGAGCCCTGAGACCCTGGAATGGCCCTTCCTGCACCCCAGCCGGGAAGCAGGCACTGGAGGTGACGTGGGGGTGGACAGCCCAGAACTAGGGGAAGGGGAAGAGGGGTATGACTTGGAGGCTCAGTGCTTGTAAGCATGCGCGAGAGCCTGGGTGTCCGGCACCCCAAGGATGGCGGAGGAGGAAAGGAAGGGGTGAGGGAGGAGAGAAAAGACCACGGGGAGAGAACAGGGTCTCCGACGGCGGCACAGACCTGAGCCCGCCCTGCCTCGGTCCAGGGGGCAAACTGCCGTCTACGTATAAGGTGGTCCTGGGACCCCAGCAGCCTTGCAGCCACCTGGAGCTCCTGGGAGGCCAGCACCGCACAGACTTCTACGTGGAGGGCCTGGCTTTCCCGGACGCTCACTTCCCGGGGGTCATTTCCCTCAGCGTCTCCCTGCTGGACACCTCCAATCCGGTAGGTCAGGCGGGCTGCCCCGCGGGGGGTGTGCCGAGCGCCCCAGGATGTGGCGGGAGTCACAGCCCTTCCCTCCCCTCCCCTGCAGGAACTCCCCGACGCCCTGGTCTTCCAGGACAGCGTCGCCTTCCGTGTGGCCCCCTGGATCATGACCCCCAATACCCAGCCTCCCCAGGAGGTGTACATGTGCAGGTGAGGACCCCGCTGCAGCCCACTAGGTGGCCAGGATCCTTGCCCCGTCTCACTGGCAACTTCTGGCCACAAAAGCCAGGGGCATCTGTAATCCCAGCACTCTGAGAGGCTGAGGCAGGAAGATCACAAATCTGGCAGCAACTAGAGGAGGAGAGAGTACCCCAAGCCTGGGCAACTCCCAAATTAGCAAGACCCTGCCCCTTAATTAAAAGTAAAAGCAGCTGGGGATGTAGTTCAGCGTAAAGGTCCCAACTGGCCCAGGAGGTGCGGCCTTGGGCACACCGTTCTGGGGGCACCACGACGGGAAGCCTGCCAAGAACAGAGATGCCAGACCAACCAGGAGCCTCCACTCAGGCTACAAGCATCTTGGGGGCCCCTGTGTCACCTGCCCCAGCCCCCTGCCCCATTCGAACTCCAGGATCCAGAGCTGCTCCTCCGCCCTCTCTAGCATTTTTGACAACGAAGACTTCGTGAAGGCAGTGGCCGCTCTGGCCAAGAAAGCCAAGTGCAAGGTGACCGTCTGCCCGGAGGAGGAGAACCAGGACGACCAGTGGATGCAAGTGCGTGGCCCGCCCGGCACACGGGGAGGGGCCGAGGTCCCCACAGAAGCCTGCTGGAGGACACTCCCTCCTCAGCTCCCTGGCTCGGTGGCCGGGCCAGGCCGCCCCCTTGCCCCCCACTTTCCGTGGCGCCTGCTGCCC